AGGTCTCTCGGTTAGCCCTCAGCCAAACAAAATTGCGAATCTAACCTACTGCTGTACTATACAGCCTCGCAGTCAGTCTCGGCAGTAGAAATCAGCAAGTCATTGCACTTGTCTACTGCACGCATCCCCAATGAACTGCACAGAGGTTGGCAACCCCGACCTCCAATCGACTGTCTGAACCCGAATCAGATTCACAGGTTTCTGCCCGGTACTAGGTAGGGAATTCACTATCCAGTAAGAGGACTTAGAACAGGTCAAGAGGAACGTCCTTAAAGCCCAGCATGAGATGGTGGAGCTGGCAAACAAACACTGACGTCCGTTGCAGTTTGCGGTAGGAGATTTGGTATGGGTAAGATCTTAGGAGTTCGTTCCGGAAGAAGGGATCTTGCAGAAATTGCTACCTGCATATGGGGCCATGGCAAGTCTTAGATGTCAAAGGAGAGGCAGATGCACACATATCCAGTATTCCACGCATCTAAGTTGCTTCCCTGTGTTACAAACGATCAGTTTCCCTCCCGACGTTCCATGATTCCACCTGATATGGATGGAGGTTATGACGTAGACCAAATAGTGGCTGAAGATACTTTCCGAACAGGTCGCCAGGGGGCTGCAGAGGCGATGCAAGCTCAGGTTTGCCTATCAGGAGCCCAGCGAAGACCGCTGGTTCCCTGGGGAGGAACTAGTACAGACAGCCCCCTCACATTGTCTCGTATTATGAGAGGGCTAGACGTAGAGTAAATGTGTATGACTGATAAAGTTGAGATTTTTCGCGGAGGTTAGGCCGGCGGGAGTGAAAGGATTCACGCTGCAGACACCCAGTCCCGGTCCCAGGGTCCCGACAAGTCCCAAGTCCCAGGGCCATCCTGTAGGGTAGGCTGTAGGGTCTAGAGGCCGAAGTGTCGTAGGCCGGTAGGTATCGGTACCGAAGTGTCGTAGGTCGGTAGGAATCCATCCGGTACCCGACAAGGAAAGTCCATAAGCGTCCAGTCCAGTCTGACAGTCCCAAGTCCAATTTTGCAGCATGTCCCAGGAAAGTCCGGAAGCTACCGGACTGAAAAAATGTTTGCAGCAGACAGGCCGCGGCCGACCCACCCATACCGGTCTGAAGCAGGCCAAGCCAAGCCAAGCCAAGGAAGCCAAGACCTATATTTAGCTGCTACAGTGCAGCGGCTCATCACTTGTTCAGTTGCGAGATGCGGAAGCGCAGCTGCTGCTCGTGCGTTAAGGCAACTTGGGCACTGTTCACCTGAAGAAGAAGAGGGTGGTTGGGCGATACTCCATAGCTAGGCTAGAGGTAGAGCAGGCGGACGGCGGCCATAACCGCCAAGGTCTAAGCTACCTGAGTGGGTGTATCCAGGGTGACGATC